AGATACATAAGGGCAAACAGGATATATTTATTTATATATATATATATATATATATATATATATATATATTTATTTATTTAGTATGTCCTAAGTAGAGTATTTGTCTACTTCATGTACTTATATACCTATTTAATTATTTGATATCTCCTTATTACAGCCACCTCTTCATTCATTTATTCATTTATTTATTATTATTTTTGTTTCCTTTGTATCCCACTTGTAGCCCTCTCCGTCATCTTCTCCTGGGTCTCGTCCTCCCTCCCTCCCTCTTCCTCATCTATCCCCTCTTCCCTAGTCAACTGATAGGGCAGGTGTTCCTCACCTACTGTCTCACCCTATCAAGTCTTATCAGGACTGCCTAGATCCTCTTGCTCTGTGGGCTGGCTAGATCTCCCCAACAAGAAGTTTTCAAGGAAGAGGCAACCAAGTTCATGTAAGAGACTGCCTCTTCTCCTCTTATTAGGAAACCAACATTTTAAATGTCTTTCATTCATTCATTTATTTTATTTTTTAAAATTTATTTATTGCATCCTGATTGTAGCCTTTAGTTTTTGTTTATTTTAAAACTTATTTACTTATTTACATAGCTATGTATTTATTTATTATGTCCTGATTGAAGCATCCTCCTCTTTATTTATTTAAACTTATTTATTATATGTTCTGATTGTAGCCTCCTTTAAGTAATTCTAAATTTATTTACTTACCTATGTATTACATTGTGGTCACAGCTTTCTTCACATACATTATTTATTTTAAAACATTTGTTGCATACTATTTGGAGCCTCCTTATTTACTCACCTTTATTTTAAAACTTATTTATATATTTATCTTTTTTTATTATTTCCTAGTTACAGCCTCCTATATTTTTTTATTTATTGCATCCTTTTAATTATTTAGTCTTTATTTTTAAAATTATTTATTTAAGTTGTTTATTGATTATTCATCTATCCAGTTATCTATCTGTTATGTCCTGATTGCCGTTTCTTTTCATTTTTTCCAAATTTATTTATTTATGTATTTATTTATTCATTTATTTGTGTTTTTATTGCTTCTGATTGTAGGCTCCACTGTTTTCTTTATTCTTATTTATTTTAAACTTATTTACTTAACACTTATTTCTTACACTCAAAATATGAGATAGCATATCTAAAAATATTTATTTACATATTTATTTTCAGCCTTTTATTTATTCTTATTTATAACATATTTATTTATTACATACTGATTGCTGCCTCCTCTCCCTTATTTGTTCTTACTTATTTTAAAAGTATTTATTTACTGCCCTAATTGCTGCATGCTCCTATTTTATTCTAAATTTTATTTGCTTATTTTTTATTGCATTCTGATTGCAGCCTTCTTTTATTTATTCTTGTTTATTTCTACTTATTTTATCTTCTAAATTAATCTATTTATGTATTTATTGTATCCTATTCATTTTAAAACGTGTTTATTTATGTACTTGTTTATTTACTTGTCTATTTACTTATTTATTATGTCCTGATTGCAGCCTCTTCTTTTATTTATTTTCATTTTTTTGTTTATTATGTCCTGATTGCAGCTTCCACTCCTTTTCCTTCTTATTTATTAAAAACTTTTTTACTTATTTTTATTACACCACTAATAATATGCCATTGCATATCTAAAAATACAAGAGGGCAGAAATTTATTTATTTTCATTTGTTTTTACCATTATTAATTTTTTACATCCTGATTGTAGTATCCTTTTCTCTTTTATTTTTTGTTTTAAAACTTATTTTTTCCTGATTACAGTCTTTGTCCTATTATTTATTTATTTCTAGCTATTTAAAATTATTTATTTCATCTGGATTGCAACCTCTTTCCTTTATTTTTTTTACCTATTTTCAAATTCATTACATCCTGATTGCAGCCTCCTCTTTTATTTGTTTATTGTGAAATTTATTCATTTATTACTACTTGTAATAAATAGATGCCTTTTAATTTATTTTTATATATTTTACAAATTATTTATTTGGTTGTTTATTATATCCTATTGCAACCTTTTTTCCTCTCAGGCCCCCTCCTCACTCTTTCCCCATTATCCCTTCTTTTCATAGAAGCTGGAGGTCCCCATTGTTACCAACTCATACTGGCGCATTAAATTACTATAGGACTAGGTGCATTCTCACACTGAGGCCAGACAAGGTTAGTCCAATTATTGGAATAGATCAGAGGGACAGCTCAGAGTCAGAAAGGGTCTCTGATCCAATTATTGGAGACTCCAAGTGAAGACTAAGTTGTGCATCTGGTACATGGTACTTGTACCAGTACACACATGCTCTTTGCTTTGTGGTTCAGTCTCTTGGCCCCAAAGGCCTCAGATTAGTGTTTCTGTCTAAACAGCATTTGATTACTGAAGAAATAAAAGTAATTTGAATACTAAAGAAATAATAACTTTATGTAGATTGCCTGAGATTCCTACTTTTGCAAAAATACCAACTACCTAACAACTACTATACATACATGGTATTACTATTAATGTTTAACCAGTCTTTTGGAGGTATCAAACCCTATTTATTTTATATTTAATTTTTACGATGAGGTTTATTTTACCTTGGTTTTGTTTTTATACAAGTATAGTTTCCTATGTGCAGGATTTCACACTAAATTTTCTTAATATATTTTACTTAAAATTTAAGATAAATGTTTTTTTGTGGTAAAATGTAATGTTGTGCTACGTCTGTATAATGTTTCAACTATATGTTTTAAGCATTTCACTAATAGAGACTTTGTTAACACAGTTATAGAAAAAAACATTTTTTTGTTTTTATGTTTAAGACAGTTGGCCAATAATTCAGACTTTTGAATGTTTATGAATTGTAGAAAAAGGAAGTGCATTTTTACTGTTAAAATATTATTTGACCTTTATGTAGGACTCATTGTAGCGGCGTGTTAGAGAAAGCCAAAATTGTGTTAACAAAGCCATCTTTTATTATATGTGTATATTTTATCATGCTATCCAATCAGAAGTCTTTTAAGCTACTCAGCTATTTATGAGTATAACTAGTAAAAGCATGAAAGTATCTCTATTATGAAAAATATATATGTGATATAAAAGGCATGTAATTTCACTTTATTTTTCTAGTCACTAATATTTATGTGATTTAGATACCTCAAAATTACATGATTCTCTAGTCATCTGATATATAACAAAAATGTAACTTTGTAAGTAATGAAATATTTTTATATCAAACATCTAAAATTTCTAGAAGTATTGAGACTCAAATTTTAAGCTTTTAAATGTACTATAAATATTATCTAGTCTTTTACAAATAAGATGATAAATTGATACTTTTCTAGAAGTATTGAGACTCAAATTTTAAGCTTTTAAATGTACTATAAATACTATCTAGTCTTTTACAATTAAGATGATAAATTGATACTTTATAAAGGGGATCATGGAGTCACAATTTTTCTTACTTGTTAGAATCCCAGAGAAGAAACACTATGCATTTACTCTATTCTCTTAGAAGAATCGTTGACCATTTTGTCATGTGAGTTGTACAAAAAAATGACTTGACAGGCAATTCAATTGGCTTGTTGAGCACCGATGAAGTTACTGATGCACCTCTTTTATCTATGTTTTGTCAATTTTCATGAATACATTATATACTACCTCTTGGAACACTACAAAGCTTTGTATGTGTTCCCTGGTTGCATGACAATATTCAAGACAACTTTGTAAATAATAGTCAAATACAAAATTTTAATGTCTAGTCTTTCTAGATGTATAGCGTGTCAAAGGGTAAATTTTGTAAATACATCATTGTAAACTTCCAATAGCTTTGTAAAAAATTTTTTGAGACTTCTCCATTTTATGTTGCTTGTTACTTGTTAACTGGTTGGCTAGGAGTATGAGGCTTTTTATTTTTTTTTAGTTTTTTGAGGTAGCATTTCTCTTTGTGGCCTTGGCTGTCCTAGACACTCACTTTGTAGACCAGACTGATGTCCAACTCACAGAGGTTCATCTGCTGCCTCCGAAGTGCTAGGATTACAGGCATGCACCATTGTGCTGTGCCCAATGAGAATTTTTAAAAGCATATTTAATTTTAACTGATTTCTTATCTCAAGAAAAATATTCATTAACCATAGGGTAAGGCTTATATTTTACACAGATAAATATTATTAAGGGCAGAAATTATAATTCTGTGATTGTACTAAAGAAAGACCATTATGTAACCATTTTGTTGTAGATAGTATAGGAAACATCTTGAATAATTTCTTATGCATCCTGCAATTAATAAAATACTATATTTACTTTGCATGACAGCATTAAAGACAAGTTTTAAATAACTGCTTTATGTATACATATAACTAATATATGTATGTATATATATGTATATATATATAAAGCTGATCTATATGTCAATTTGAAAAATCCATTTTTTTCAGATGTAAATATTTCATTGTAACCTAACATTAAAAAAATTATACCTTTAAATGTTTTTTAAATGCAATAGATTAGTATTGTTAGGGCTATCAAGTATAAAACTACTTAAGCACAGTTTAACATGTAGAGAAGAATTCTCTAATTCTTTGTATACTGTTTACATAAAGAAAAATTGCTTACTGCAAATGAGCTTTTTTTTTAATCTTCATGGAGAAAGATGGAAGGGAAAATGAAAATCTAAATTAATGAGACAACTGCTAAAATCATGGTAACTTGATTATTTACCCTCTGTACATGTATGTAACTTTTATCTGCAGTTATAATCACATTACATCTTATGTTATAGGAGTATATAAATCACTTAGTATTTCTCTTTAATTGTGTATATATTCTTGATTTAAGTTTGTATTTCTGCTTTACAAATTGTATAAAATTAGCATTTTTTTCTAATTCAGGTATTTCTGCATTCTCAATGTTATTATCAACCACATTTTGTTATAATTACGGAATGCATAATTTGTTTTTATCCATCTTTATTATATACAATATTAAAACTAGTTAATTTTTGAAAAACTTGTATCTACAACTACTACAGGTAATATCTAGTGTTTCGTCTAATATATTGTAAGAAAAAGTAGCCTGTATGCCATTAAAGACAATACAAATGTTAATCCCAGATCCATACTCAGTTTGAGGTCAGACTTGCCTCATACGTCCCTGTGTCAAAAGAAAACGTGAAAACAAGGAAAAACTGAACACCTCAATCAATGTAAAGAACGTAAGGATTGTAGTTTAAGTTGAATGTAATTTAACAGTGAAATATCATTTGTCTACAGAAGGGGGTTTGTTTTATTTAATTGAAAAAGGGACAATTTGCCTACATGTAGATATTTTAGTTCTTAACTAAAATGGATAATTAAGAAAACCCTAAGTACACATATGGAGTAGCATTCCGACAGTTATTACTTTTGTATACAATGTGTGTTACTTTACAGTAATGATTGAAGATTCGTTCAAGTGAACTAAACAGTGTATACATGCTTGGAACTTATCACATGAGACCATCTAGAATGGACAGTTAATGCAAACAAAGAACATCTTCAAGAAGAATGATAAAATGTTAACACTTTTATCTGACCTTGTAATTATGAGGGGATTTGCAAATAAGAATCTAAACAAGAAGAAAATATGAAAAAGACATTTGTACCAATACCTTTGATGTCAACATGGTAGTGCTGGGTTGCCGTATCCAACTTTGTATTCTTAGAAGCCCTTATGAACAGTTTTGAAAAATTTCTGTGAAGAATCGTAGACACTCTTGAGACAGCAAAGAGTATGGCAATAACCAATGGAACATAAGTAAAGATGGAATTTCATGTGAGTATTAAACTAAATGTATTTTGAAAGATGATTATGTGACTGACATAATATGTTTGATAAAAACCATATTGCTGACCACAGCAACTCTTATAAAGGAACTCATTTAATTGTTGCTGTCATAGCAGGTTACAGGCAGACATGGTGCTGAAGAAGCTGAGAGTTCTATATTTTAATCTACAGGCAGCAAAGAGAAATGGTGTGCCACACTGGGCATAGCTTGAGTAGGAGATTTCAGAGCCTGCCCCCACAGTGGCATTATTGCTCAAAAAAGGCCAGATCTCCTGTGGACAGAGCACACGAGTTTATGGTGGCCATTCCTATTAAACCACTGTACATAGTAAGTAAGAATATGTCTTTAAGAATATGCTTTCATAGTGGTGTGTATCTTCATAGATTTAGCATGTTAAATAAAATTTGATTCAGACTTACAGGGGATAAGCTATAAGTTTCCATTTACCTATTTGTTTTTAAAATATAACCCATGATCTGAAACATGATGAAACACTAAACTCCCTTCCAATCATCCCAATTTTTCTATAAATGAAGAGTAGGTTATTCGTCTGTTGTATGTGATTGAGTTTGTTTAGAGATCTGAAGTAGATATTTAGGGGATTTACACAATTACCAGCAAGAACTGTAAATGTTGACACTGTTTAAATAAAAACTAAGAATGTTAGATGGTAACCTGTGCCTACTCTTCTTTTAGATGGCCTGAGTTCTGTTCCAGTTGCCACAGGTGGTGGCTCACTGCTACCTGCTACTCCAGCTCCAGGGCAATGTGACACATCTGGCCTCAGGCACTTGAATGAAATGCATGTACGTATATATGCTGTACATTTTCAGAAGACCTTAGTTAGTAAGATAGTAACCATATCTTACTTCATCTTTGGAGGATCTGATGCCTCTGACTTCTGTGTACTCACATACATGTAACAAATTGGACTGGAAATATTTGCTATTAAATACAAGTTATTATTGTTTTCTCCCTCAGACCAGGCTACTTCTTGTAATACTTGTTTAATATACAGCATACTCTGTATTGGGGACTCATCCTCTAAATTTGTCAAATTTTAATTGTAAATTGAATTTTGTAATGGTAAATTAATTGAGCTATTGTGATGATCAAAAATTAGAACATTTTCTGAACATTTTAATTTTCTTTAATTTTTTTATAAATTACAGTTTATTCACTTTGTGTCCCAGCTGTTACCCCCTCAGTCATCCCCTCCAATTCAACCTTCCTTCCCTCGTCTCCTCCTATGTCCCTCCCCAAGTACACTGGTAGGGGAGGTCTTCCTCCCCTTCCATCTGACCTTAGCCTATCAGGAATGGCTGTATTGTCTTACTCTGTGGCCTGGAGGTCATCAAAGAACCAGCCACTGAGTTCATGTCAGAGACAGTCCCTGTTCCTCTTATTAGGAAACCTACTTGGAGACTGAGCTACCTTGGGCTATATCAGTACAGAAGTTCTAGGTTATCTCCATTCATGATCTTTGGTTGCCGTATCAGTCTCAGAATATACCCTTGTGTCCACATTTTTTGGTTCTGTTGCTCTTCTTGTGGAGCTCCTACCCCCTCCAGATATGTCTATCTCCCCTTTATTTCATAAGATTCCCTAAACTCTGCCCAAAGTTCAGGTATGAATCTCAGCATCTGCTTTTTATACCGTGCTGGGTAGTCTTTCAGAGGCCCCCTGTGTCATGCTTCTGTACAATTGCCTTTTTTCTCTGTCTTATGATTTTTTTTTTTTTCGAACAGGTCTTTCACTTGCTTGGTTATATTCACACCAAGGTACTTTATGTTATTAGTGGCTATTATAAAGGATGCTGTTTTTCTAATTTCTTTCTCAGCCCTTTGTCTTTTTATGCAGGAGGACTACATTTTTTTTCAGTTAATTTTGTATCCAGCCACTTTGCTAAAGATGTTTAGCAGCTGAAGGAGTTCTCTGTTTTTTTTTTTGGGGGGGGGGTCACTCATGTATACTCTTTTATTATTTGCTAATAGTGGGACTTTGAATTCTTCCTTTCAGATTTGTATCCCCTTTAACTGACTGAACATTTTAATTTAAAGCATGTAAAAAATAAAAGGTAGACCATCTAAACATATTAAGGATAAAGATGGAGCAGAAATTGAGGCAATGGCAAAGCAATGACTGGTTCAACGGTATTTTACCCCAGGGGAGAGAGACAACCACTCTGACTCTTAATGATGTGCTGGTATACTTTAATCATTAATATTCACATGGAATGTTTTATATTTTTCAGGTGCTCCTGGTGACAGACTTAATGCACCTAACCTAAGTAGCACTGAAAGAGTGTAATAAAAGGATTGCCTGAAAAAAATAGGTAAGAAAGGATCTGACTTTCATTCCCTTTGAATGAACAAAGAAATATTATTTCAAACATTATTATTTTATATATTCAGTTTTCTGAATTAACTCATACTCCAACCAAGGACTATCCATGGAGATAACCTAGAACCCTGACAATGCAGCCACTTCTGATGAGAACTGATAGACTAAGATCAGAAAGAAGGAGAGGAGGACCTCCCCTATCAGTGGACTTGGGGAGGGGAATGCATGCAGAAAGGGGGGGTGGGACCAGGAGGGGAGGAGGGGGGGGTCTATCGGGGGATACAAAATGAATAAAATGTAATTAAAAAAAGTTAAACAACAAAAAAAAAGATGTGTGTGGAACCAAGTGTATTAAACCAAGTGTTCTATGAAGAAACTGCAACTGCAGCCTTTAATAATTTTATTTAATGATTTTTTTTTCTGATTGTGTCTGAGTATTCCAGGCCAGCTTTGTAGCTGAAGATGGACATGAAGTTCTTTCTGTTTCCATTTCATACCAATCTTATGTATGGGATTGGTCTTATAAGATAAGTCCCAATCTTATGACTGGGACTAGACAGGAATATCCTCATGCCTGGAATATGCAGTTGCAAGAATCTATCTCTTTGTTCATTCTTGGAAAGTACAGGCTAACAATATTTCAGTCCTCCTGAAATATTCTTTTTTTGAAATAAGTTAATATGTACACACGGTTTATCCTTTTAAATCTTATATTTTCCATATTAGTTACTTGACTTATTGCTTAAAATATGTATCAAGATAAGTCTAGAGAGATATAGCTCAGAAGTTGAATACTGCTCTTGCAAAGGCTCTGAGTTTAGTTCCTAGCACCCATGCATGCTCATGATTATCATGCACACGCACATCAAAAGTCCCATAATTAAAATGTTAAAAACTAAATACTTAAAAGTGCATGACCAAAGAAAATTAAGTGTTAATTTGGGCTCATAATACAGTGGTCATTTAATCAAGGTAGAGAGAGCATGAAAGCAGGAACATGATGCAGGTAGTCACATTATATTCCTAGTCAGAAGTCACAGAGTAATCATTATCAGAATAATGAGTGGGAAAAGTAGGTTCAAGATACAATATATACTTATTTTGAAAATGTTTATAATTCACAAGGTAGCAAGGACAGTGAATGCTCACCATGAAAATTAAATTAGAAAAAAATCTAATTAAAACAGGAAGCTAAAAAATAAAACAGGAAGCTGACAAGCCCTAATAAGAGTGCTACAGAAATAATATCAATTACTTGTGAAAATTAACATATTACACAAGAGAGATAGTACTCTCAGGTGACTAGGGGCCTAGGAGAGAGACATAGGGGGAGAAGAGGGAGCTGCAGCAGGATATAAAGTGAATAAATTATAATAAATAAGTATAAATAAAATTAAATTTAAAAAGGATATACATATATTTATAATAAAAATAAAAAATGTTGCCCTTTGATAATGAACTGATGGTTCTGTTGTTTTCTTCCTGTTTGCTCTCAGGTAATTACTACATTGGATAGCAAGCATTTTTACAACCTTCACAGTGCTCTGAAAGGTCTCAGAAGGTGTGTGGAAATAGTCTTGCCAATCATTAAAAATGAACTCAGCTAATTGGATAAAGACTTTGAAGACAATCACTTCATATTTACAAAGACTTTCTGATTGTTGTTGGACAAACCCAAGAACTGGATACAGTGTTGCATGGATAAAAATTATATTGTAGAATTGATATTGGCTTCATCTCAGTGAAAGTATGAAGTGGATTTCATGATAATTTTGAAGCTTTTTTGAAGTTATCACTGAATACACATCTATAAACTTTTTAATTGTTTTTCCTTTTCAAAGGGTTTAAATATGTAGCAAGATTGACCTGAGTGGTGGGATTATAGAGAATTACAATGTGCTCAGTTAGAGTACTAATTTTAACATAGATTGTATACCAAAGTTTATGGAGTTACTGGTACTTTTATTGCATCTTATTGATAAATACTTGTACATGCATCTTTCATGGGTTGAGATAATCACATTTCATGTAAAATTTTTATTTCTTTGAAGTTTATTTTTGGTTACTAATAAGTTAATATAAATAAATTGCTATTTGTTTAATATTAAACTATGATTCATTTCTGTTCATTGTTTTGTTTGAATTTTCATGCTGCTTATCTGTTAATTATTAATACACTCATTTGTGAATTAGCCTTTAATTTGGTCATCATGTGTATCATTTTGTTTTCTGTTTATTTTTTTAATACTAGGTTGTACATAAATTATGCATTAAAATACAATAAGGTTCTATTTTGAATCATTGTGTTTTGTGTTTTTCATTTGCAAGCATGTTTTGTTCATATCATACATGTTTGTGTTGTCATTCCAGTTTTTCATCAGAAAATTTTGTTGTTTCTTTAATACTTTTTAACGAATAAGATTATAAACTTTGCCTGAGTGCCTGTTTGCTTTTTCTTATATTAACTTGTTAATTACTGATGATTTGTACTGTCTTACTTTTTCTATTGAGTTCAGCCTTCATTCTCTTCTTTTTCAGACTATCCCCTGTATGTAGTCAAATTATTTCTCAGAGTTGATGCTTACAATTATTTGTCAAGTTGGACCAAATGCACTTTTACTTTGATTTGCAACACATTTAATAGATTAAGTAGGAGAGAATAGATTTCTTTAAAATTGAGCCTTCCTATACAACCTCAAGGTATGTCTTTCTATTTGTAACAATGTTTTCACTCCTATTCATTCCATATATTTAATTAATATACTTGCTTGTAACATCTACTCAGTATAATTGGTATATGAAATTTGCTTTCATATCCCTCTTTCAATAATCTCTGAATTTCTTATGATCGTAAAATTCGTACTCGTACTAACATTTCATCATGAATAAATAATTGGGAAGTACTCTTAGAATGTACAGTTATGAACAGCTGTTAGATTCTCTGATACAATGTTACATTCTAAGGATTTTTGTAGAAATTTAGGATTGGTTTTGGTATTTTTCATTCATTTTGTACTTACACTTTTGGCCTCATATAGCCTAGGTTGCATTATGATGTGGTTCAGGTTGGAATTGAACTTACAGGAATCCTCCTGCCTTAGCACCTTCCTCAAATAAAGTTTAATATTTCTCAAAGTTGAGTATTATTAAACTTATTGCTCTACCTGGAGAGACATCTATGAGATTCAGAGGATCTTGTTCTTAGAGACCGAGTTTCATTCCCACCACCCACTTTATGTGCCTTGCAGTTGCCTATAAGTGTAGGTCCAAGAGTATCCAATGTCTTTCATCTCTGTACTAATGTGGACTCTTGTTTACATAGTCTACCCAGTCACATAGTCAATATTTTCAAAGTAACCCTTTTTAAGGAAAGTATGAAGCTAGGCTCTAGATATCACATATCTTTGATTCCACCACTAGGGAGACAGAAGCAGATAGGTGTCTGAGAGCAATTTCCAGGTCAGTTACACAGAGAAACCTTGTTTCAGAAAAGAAAATTCCCTTTTCTTTGATCTTTTATTATGAAGTATGTTATTAGAGGAGTTTACAAATATCTTGGGCATCATTCATTTAATTTTAATGTTCATTCCTATCTGTTTCTAAAAGCCAAGGCAGTTGTGCAGAACAAGGAAGGGAGGGAGAGAGGGATGGAGGGAGGAAAGGAAGGAAGGAAGGAAGGAAGGAAGGAAGGAAGGAAGGAAGGAAGGAAGGAAAGGAGGGAAAGAAAGTTTAATTAGATCATAGCATTTTAAACTACATTCTGTAATGGTGTACACTCTAATCAGTTTTATAATTGGGTAGTACTGTTATTATTTGAGGCCAGACTGTATGAAGCCTTCTCAAAATAGAGTATTAAACTAAAAAACTAAAGCAATTTCATATAGAATTTTATATTGATCTCCACCTACTCTTAGAATGTTTACCTAGGTTCAGAAATTGTCACAGCAGTGTTAACTAATTCATAATCCTTATTCATGTGTGCATTGTCGTGTCATTTTTCTTGGCCCCTTTCTAAACTACATAGATTCAATATGATTGTTATTTAGGATGTTCCATAGCCTTCGATTTGCATAGTTTGTACATTGAAACTGCATAGAGCATTTGGTGATTTAGTGTTCTGGTTTTACCTAAGCTTTTTAATTGAGATTGTGAGTGTAGTGGGAACAGTACTGTTGAAAAATCTTATGTTTTTTTTTTTTTTCCATTTACTATGAATGACATGTGGTTGGTCTATTTTAGTTCCTGTTACTTTGATTTCTTAGTGTTTTTATGAAGTATCTTATCAGAGGAGCTTACAAATTTCTTGGGTATCATCTAATTTTAATGTTCATACATTCTAAAAAAGCCCTTTATATCTATTTACTCTATTTGTACATTGTGAATTGTGTTTCTATTGTGTTTGGGACTCTGGGTACAGTATGTGAATGTTTTGCCTACAATGCACTGGTAATATTAGTTGTAATATTTTGTTCAAGTGCCCAATGCATATATTTTTTTCATAATTTAATTTAAATTTATTCTTTGGACCTTTCTTTGATAGAGATGGTTCTGCAGTTAAGAGCAATTTAAGAGTACTTTATTTTGATTTCTAGTACTGACATGGCAAGTTCTAGGATATCTCCTGCACAATTCTGGATTCATTGGGTACACATGAGTACAAAGGTATACATACAAGGAAAATAAAAGTTTTAAGAAATTACATAATTTCATTGTTTTAAATGAGTAAATGATTCATATATATATATATATATGTATATATGTTTTCATTATAGTTGATTAGCATCTGGGCTGACTTAATTTTCTAGGTCAGCTCAGAAATTTTTTATAATTTCCAAAACAAAGAAATTTTTTTTTCTTTTTTTTTAATTTTATTTTTTTCTTATCAGTTACATTTTATTAACTCTGGTGAAACATGGATATGCAGATATCTCTAACTAGATCAGCTATTCTAATCCTGAAGGGCACAAACACTTCCGGGTCACATGCCCTGTTCACAGGGATTGAATATCAGAAATTTACTTCATGATTAATGAGAATAGAAAAATTACACTTAGGAAGTAGTAATGAAATAATTTATGGTCAAGGGTCAGTGCAACATGAACAATTCTATTGAAGGGTTTCAGCATTAGAAAGTTTGAGAGCCAGTGATCTAGAGTTCTTTTGAGTAGCCGCCTAGAAGTGGTTTCTTGGGTTATATGGATGTTCTGTTTTTAGCTTCATTTATATTAGGTAAGCACCAGTGACGAAACTCAGTGTCCATTGTATAATATTCTTTAGATATTTTTAACTTCCAAAGAATTTTTTTTAATCTTTTATTTTTTTTTATTAATTACACTTTATTCATTTTGTATCCCCCCATAAGCCCCTCCCTCCTTCCCTGCCGATCCCACCCTCCCTCCCCTTTCTGCATGCATGCCACTCCCCAAGTCCACTGATAGGGGAGGTCCTCCTCTCCTTCTTTCTGATCTTAGTATATCAGTTCTCATCAAAAGTGGCTGCATTGTCCTCTACTGTGGCCTGGTAAGGCTGCTCACCCCTCAGGGGAAGGTGATCAACGAGCAGGCCAATCAGATTATGTCAGAGGCAGTGCCTCTTCCCATTACTATGTAACCCACTTGGACACTGAACTGCCATGGGCTACACCTGTGCAGGGGTTCCAGGTCATCTCCACAAATAGTCCTTGGTTGGAGTATGAGTCTCTGGGAAGTTCCCTGTGTTCAAATTATCTTGTTCTGTTGCTCTGCTTGTGGAGTTCCCGTTCCCTCCAGCTCTTACTATTTCCCACTTCTTACATAAAATTATGGGCTGGAGAGATGGCTCAGAGGTTAAGAGCACTGTCTGCTTTCCCAGAGGTCCTGAGTTCAATTCCCAGTACCCAAAGAATTTTTTTTTAATTTTAGAATATAAAAATGTATCCTTTCACAATTATTTTAGAGAAAATATATATACACTCTGTCACCTTATCCTATAATCCTCTTGTATACTGTATTCTATTCCATGAAAGTCTTTCCTACTTTCGTTTTTGTTTTTGAGGCCTACTGAATTTAGTTATAGCTCCTGATCAAGCAGGATTTTTTCTTTAGTGAGGCCACTTTACTATATCACTTAGGAATAATATTTCCCAGTAACCATTTCTTGCTTATAAATTTTCAGGGAGTCCATGCTTGTATGAAATACATCCCATAAATAATGGAAAATTGATTTGCCTTGTTTTGTAATGATTCTGTGCAGTTACCTACTGATGCTTTGATGCCATTATTATAGTAGCTGATTTATGTCCTGAAGACAGCCTTTTTTTTTTTTACCTCTCTTTCCGATACTTGAGCTCTTAAATTTTTTAAATTCCCTGCTTTTAATTATCTAAACTTTTAAAGGAGTTCCTGAGCATTCAAAAACTACTTATTCAAAGGACATTGGTGTGTCTCTGTGTTAACTCCTGCATTGATGCTACAAGAAGATGCTTCTCTCATTTGAAATAAAATTAAAAAGTAATGGTTAACCTCAACAGTCATTCAATGTTTGTACCATTTGCCTCATTGTACCGGAAGTCTGGTTTGTTGCTTTCAGTGTTCATAGCTATGGAAGACCTTGGATCAAATTTTAACACATAGCACTTTCCAACATTAATAAAGCTAGCCAGTAAAGTTTGGTTCAGTGCCTTCATGTGCATATATGTCCTAAACCTAAAATATGTGGTACTTTCTTCAGTATGGCATTAACTAATTGTGGTTGGCAATGGTAACCACAATAGCAATGGCAAGAGCCTGTTTGATTTTGTTAATGTATGGGATCCACCATTATTCACACATGTATGATATGTACAAACTTAGAAAAACTACCATTCACCTTTCATGTGACATCTTCTCTAGTGATGTACCCATTCTAACTTCCTGCATTTCAATTAAACACAAATTAAGAATTTAAGGTCAGGTATTAATAGGGCAGACAAAATGAGTGATTTGTTCTCCTAGACTTTGTTTACACCAGTAACAGGCAATTCTGTAAATTTATTATCCTATTCATTATATAGCTCTTAGGATGAGTCCATTTTTTAGCTATTGTTAGCAGACAGTAAGTGTGAATGTGCAACTATGTTTGAAGTAGTCCTTTGTGGAGATTCCCAGGAATTGTAATGTTGGGTCATCTGGTAGTTCAGGGCTTTTTTTAAAAACTTTTTTGGGAAAGTTCATACTGATTTCCTTAGTCTCCTAACTAGATTAAGCTCTCAGACTGTTCAACATTTTCCCATAGACTTTTATTCAGCTTCCTAATAGTAACCATTTTCATGGTGGTGAGTTAGAAAGTGAAAGTAGCTTATATTTTCAGTTTTGTGAATTCTGCATATATTGATCACCTTTATTGAAAAAAAAAACACACCAAGAAACAAAATTACCTCAGTCCAATGCCATATTTTTATATGGCTGTTTTCTTAATGTTTAGTTATGAGTTTCCTCTATATTCTAAAGTATAATCTTCATGGTAAAGATTTCCCCCATATTTTCCTAATGAATAGTTTGTTTTAATATGTGAAAGCTTTCTTTTACAAACACTAAACCCAAGGCCATAATATGTATGCTAAGAACTTGTAAAGTTAAAAAAAAAAAAAAAAGACAAGTCTGACAAAATGTGAGACAAAGCACCTACAATGATGCCATTGAGTTTGTTATATTTAGGCCATCTTATGGGGGGCATGTCACCTA